CCGAAAACTATTGAAGGTTGTGACATTTTCGTGTGGTGGTTAGGTCCAGCCTGCCAGTGTATGAGGGAACAAGTCTTCCCTCCCACGTCCACATGGTTCTACATCTAATTCCCTGATTAGTCCCAAATACCACCTCACACTGCTTCCTAAACTCTATGTTTTTGCTTATTCTTTAACTTTGCCACTTTTATCAAACGTGCATTGAGAAGCCCACAGATTTCTCTAGATGTGCTTTCAGCCTTCGTGTGGGTGTGGAAGGGGGTTAGTTTTTTTAATTTTTCAACTTCTTCTTAATTTTGGGGTTAAAAATTCTTGCATTTGGAAAGGATTTGTGATTTTTTTTGTGAGAGAAACGAATGTAATACCGGCCTCCGGTTTGTTTTGCTGGACAACGGGTTTCGTTGCTGGTTAGGCCGGAAAGCCAACCTCTGGGTATATTGTAATTAGATTAATATTTGTCTTATATTAGTGATTAGAAGTCATTTAGTTTTGTGTGAGCTCATTTTACAAAAATCCTAAACCAATATCTCACAAAACATAGGTTTAAGTAGAGGCTCACTATGTTCAGTTAATTTATCATAAAAATCATTCTTAATTACTCAATAAAGCAAAAAGGCATCACCAGGCTATTGTAAACTTAACTTCACTCCTGCAAATGTGAAAATATGTGATTTCCCCGCAAATAATAAATATTATGAGAATAAGAAAACTAAATACGTGACAAAAATTAAATCCCAAAGGACAGCCAAAGACTTATTTTTATCGTTTGTTCCCAATGTGAGGTCACGCCTCTCGGAATCGATTCCGATTCCACTATCAACAATAGAGTTCCAAACGTAACAGAACGAGACACTATGGTCTCACAAACCACTATAATTAGGTGATTTCCAAATAATCACATAAACAAAGAGGAAAGACAACTACACTCCTCACCAAATAGATGAACCAAAATCTTCAAAACCAAAATTGAAGAAGACCCAAAATAACGAACCAAATCAATTTCACCCACTAACCAATGATGCACAGCAACAATGGAACATCAATTGAACTTAGGCCCAAACAATCAATGCTGGCTCCGGAATCTTTGTGGCTGCCGCAATACTTCTTCTTTTGGTGAAAACCAATACCAAAATATGTATGGTGAATTTAGGATTTATTATCAAATTTTAATTATTTTTAAATTGGATTAGGTCTCCTCAAATATAATATATAAAAATATATTATAGCTAAACCAATCCAAATTAAAATTCTTTCATAAACTAATTGGGTCCCACACTCCAATAAGGAGATATACCCAACACAAACATATATCAAGAAAGTATTAAAAAATAAATATGACTTTAAAAATAAATCATTTATGTTTTTAAAGATGAACGTGTTGAAAGCTTGTTATTATAATTATTAGATTAATTTAATTTTTATAAATAATTTATACACACAAACTTTAAATTTTGACAGATTAAAACCATGATAGAGCGCACAAACACGACAAAATAGCAGATTGGAGAGAAACCCAGTTAATGTAATTAATCATAACAATAGTTTTATCAAAAGTTCCTAATTTTCTATTTGTTACATGAATTGTTGTTCAGTAAATAAATATAAAATAGCGTTGAATATAAACAAGTATAATGAAAAAATTAACATTTTGTTTAGTACACCAGTTTGGTAAAGTTTGTTTACAATTTATTTAGTTTAAAATTTAAATTTTTGTGCTTAAATGTTATTATACTTTAAAAAGAAAGGATGCTTGATAAAAGTTCTTATATTATTAGCTTATTTATTTTCATAAGCTCAAAACAAATTTAAACATTTTTTCATTTATAAAGCAAATAGTTATAAATTAATTACAAATTAATAGAAAACTTCTACTAGTTAATTGCACTACATAATTTTCACTCATAGTGGGAATAGTTTTACTTGTATTTTATTAATTTTGATTAGTTTATTCATATTTCATAAAAATGATTTTAAAAATAATAATAATAATATCAATTGAACAAGACTCTCCATTTCGTTTTTATACACTCAGGCCTCGTTTGGCAACCGAATTTTTTAGCCAAAAAATTATTAAATTAGTCAAAAAGTCAATAATTCATACTAAAAAGTTAAAGATTCTCTTTTCTCTTTACTTTTTGCACATCTTTTCATAAAAATTCAAAAAGTCATCCAAAACATACTAATTTTTTTTAACTCATATTTTAGCTAAATAGTTACTAAATTAGCCTGTTCCCAAACGAGGCTATCTCATCTTTCCAAACACAAAAATTTTAGCCTATTAAAATAGCTAAAAACTAAAATAGCCTACTAAAATAGCCACTTCCCAAACGAGGCCTAATGTGAAGTCCATATTATTATTATCTTATACTTTTCTTCCAACTTCCTCTTAGGAGGATTTTTAATTATTTTTATTTAAACTTATTGGTTAAAATATTTATTTAAAATATTTATATATAATGTTTATTTTTTTTAAATAAATATAATTTAAATATATAATTATTAATATTTAATCATCTTAATTTTTTATAAAAATATTTTATTCAATTAGTTTAAAAATAAACCATAATTAATCCACAATTTAACCATCATTCTCTCTTCTCTCTCTCACAAGAAAGAACTTCGTCTGTACATGCATATCTCTTCTTCACCGCCGTTTTCTCTCTCATCCCATCCACTTTGAATTTAAACCAATTTCCTCAATTAGGTCTCGTCCATTACCCTCAGAAACCCTAACTTCATGGCTTTGATCACCTTATAGACTTTTTTTTTTTTTTTTTTCTATACCCAAGGATTTTTGGGCGAGTCAATTCGACCCACATAAAAATTGTCAAAATTCGACGAATTCTCTCATCTGGGTCTCTCTCAATTGCCTTCAAATCTTAAGTTCTCGGGGTTTTCTAGTGATTTATAGCTTGTGATCCATATGGGTCCGAATCATCCGATGGAGGACGATCCAAAGGACACGTTGGTGAGTCAACTCGCTGTAGCCATAAAGGAAATCTCTGGGTCGCCCGAGTGCCAGAACTCTTCTAAGAAGATGTACAACAACTTGGTTCGGAGAGTGAAGCTATTGAGCCCTTTGTTTGAGGAATTGAAGGACAGCGAAGAAGAGCTCGGACTCGATGAGGTTCGAGGTCTCGAGTCGTTGAAGGTCGCTTTGGACTCTGCTAGAGAGATTCTTCGATCTATCAATGAAGGCAGCAAGGTCTTTCAGGTACTTTTAGTTGTTGTTTAATCTGATTTTGGGTTTTGATTGTGATTTTGTTTAGATTGTGGTTTGTGATGGAAGTGGTCTGTTTGGTTGTTGAGAAAATTGAGGACAAGAAAGAAATTCCATACCCATGATTCTAGTTTTGTTTTCTTAGAAACAGAAACAATAAAACCTTTTAGGATTTGTTCATTTACCTGCTTCACACAAAGATGGGTTTTTTGTATGAAGGCAGAAAAGTAGAGAATTCTAGCTTGATTTTACTTGATTTTTCTGCTAATTTCTAGGCAAGTTTTTGGTTCAAATTCTAAGTCAAACTCTGTGTGTGTGTGTGTGTGTGTGTGTGTGTGAGAGAGGCAAACTGGAATGTGCTAGTTATCCAATCCTGTGGTAACTTCTGAGGCAGAATTGCAGTAGGTGTGGAGTCATAGACGGTAATTCAATTAAATTAAGGATGTTTCAGCATTATGGGAATTAATAGCATTGAAGAAATTTCGGCATTTTCTATCACAGGTGCATCGACCAAAGGGTCATTTTGATCCTAGAGATACGCATTTGATTCATTTTTCTTTTATCAGGCTTTGTAGGAGAAGTTATGATATTTGTTACGTGGGAATTAAGTGATAAATTTTTTTGATAGAGGGCTATCACAAAACCAGTTGTCACTCTCAATAAACAACAATGGCCGCCCTAAGCAGTTCCATTTCATGTCTTTGCAAAGCTAAGGGATTTAAGATTTCTGAGCTTACATTTAGGTCTCACTATTCTTCAGCAAGTTTAAGTTCTTGGACATCATCTATGGAGGTTCTTTTGTGCAGTGTTAGTTTTTAAATCTCCAATCGACTCTTTCCTTTTTTAATCCAATCTTTAACATTTAACAAGATTGATAGTCTTGTGATATCTATCTATTATCATTCTTTGTGCTTAAGTTATGTGATTGTCTTGTTTACAAGTCTCTTGTCTAATTAACATTTTAGTTTTAAGGTAAGTTGTATTTTCCATGTCGCAGGCTCTGCAGAGGGACAAAATTGCAGCTGACTTCTTACAAGTGACAGATCAAATTGAAGAAGCATTGAGTCAGATTCCTTGTGATAAACTTGATATATCAGAGGAAGTTAGAGAACAGGTAGTTTAGGATCAACCTGTTTGAAGATTTTTATTGAAAATAATTCAACATCTATCCACGCTATTTGTTTATTTTACTGATTGTGGGTATGATTTGTTTTAATTTTTCTATTAGATTGAACTCGTGCATGCTCAATTCAAAAGAGCTAGAGGAAGATTGGACTCACCTGATCCACTACTAGAGATGGATTTAGCCACGGCACAGAAGGAGAAGGACCCTGACCCTGCAATTTTAAAACGGCTTTCAGAGAAGTTGAATATCAGGAATATGAATGATCTGAAGAAAGAGTCACTTGCTATCCATGATATGGTTATCTCGTGTGGTGGAGTTCCTGGGGATTGCTTAGAGGTGGTGTCGTTTCTGCTTCGGAAGCTGAAGAATTTTGTAGCGAATGAAAATCCCGACACTGATACGTCTGTGGTTGAAAAGGGCTTGATTAAGCACCGATCTCCTGTTATCCCAGATGATTTCCGGTGTCCGATATCTCTTGAACTGATGAAAGATCCTGTGATTGTCTCTACTGGACAGGTTTAAACTTCTCTCTGTACTGGTAGCCATTTATTTAACAAACATGATTGATTGAAACTTAATTCAATTCGTACAATTTGACACAAGTTTCAACCGAAACGATTATATTTGTGCTGTTGAATCTTAATTTGAGTGAATCATACAATTCAAATGCAATTCACTTTGATTTATTGCTATTCAGTTCTGTTTGTATAATGCATGAAACAACTTTTTCGCAAAATAAAAAAAAACTCTTTAATATATGTGATTTTATATGTATATACATATACGAAATTAGTTATATATTGATATTAATTTCATTTAAAAAACTATGTATGTGTTTTTATATGTATTTACATACATAAAATTGTATATTACACTAAATAAGCGAATCTTACGATTCATGATTTATTATTTTAGCAAAACAATTCACGATTCAATTCACGATTGACAACGATGTTAACAAAGATTTTATACTTTTCTTCCTTTTGTAGACGTACGAAAGATCATGCATTCAAAAATGGCTGGATGCAGGGCACAAGACCTGCCCCAAGACTCAGCACACTCTGTTGCACACAGCTCTAACACCCAACTATGTTTTGAAGAGTTTAATTGCTTTGTGGTGTGAGAGCAATGGTGTTGAGTTGCCAAAAAAGCAAGGGAATTGTGGTA